ACAAGTGTTACCAAGATGAACACATGAAATGCCATCTTGAGTCAGATCAAAGTCTAATCAGTTCACTACTTTGTTTCCCAGAGTGGCACCAAGGAACCCCTTGGAAGAAATTTAGAACTTAATCTCTATGGTTCTAGCCTCTGAAAGTTAGAGGCATCCTCAGAGTATTTTCTTCTTTCTATTTATGAATGTGAAGTCCTGGTGTAGCATTGTGGGTTAATGCACTGACTGCAAGGTCAATTTGAACCACAAGGTCGGCAGTTCAAGTTCACCAGTTGTTCCTCGGAAACCCTATACAGGGTCGCTATGACGCAACAACACTTAACAACAATTTATGAGTGTATATATATATATATATTGTTTTTTAAGGTGAATATATATCCAAGGGGACTTCAAAAAGTTTACAGAAAAGTTCCATTGTTTTTAATTCTATTTTTCCATGAACTTTTTGAAGCCCCCTTGTATGTTATATATGTATACATATGTGTGTTCTAACATGTATAATTCAATGATATTAGTTATTTTCATCATGTTTTGCATCATTCACCACTGTCTGTTTCCAAATGTTTCCATCAACACAAGCTCAGTCTTCCCAAACCATGGCTCTCTATTCCCCTCCCTCACACCCTGCTTACCACTCACAGACTTTGGTCTGTTTATATTTGCCTATTTTAGATATTTCATATAAGTGGAATTTACAATCTTTCTCCTTTTGTGGGTTTTTAAAAAATTTGTAAAATATTTGAAGTATAGGAAATAATATAATCAACAACTTAGCTGCTTTATCAAACTTAACATTTGATCACAGTTGCTTCAGAGGTAAACATTATCACAGTTACCCAGAGGAACACATTATCCTATATTTCATATTGATCATTTTCATGCATGTTTTCCCAGCTTACAAAGAGTGTAAATATTACATTTGTTAGCTTAGTCTACAAACCTGAGCTATATTTTATATAGGCACAACCTGAACAATATCAAAAGTTGTAGAAGAAACAAATACAGAAGTAAGGAGTCACTTACTCTTTCTGCATATTAACTTTCCTCCTGAGATAAGGGTCTTTGTCCTACCCACCCAAATACCTTGCAATGATGAGAAAGTTCAATCATGTAAATAGATGTTCATTGGGAAAAGATAAAGTGTTATACACATGCAAGGTTCTAACACTTTGATTAGTAAATTCTTTATGTGTATAACTTCATGTAGTTTATTTGACTTGTCCTCAAAGTTGAGGTAGTAAGTAAAACTTTACTTTCCTCCCTTGCTTTATTTCATAAAGTTTGATTCTAGTCCTTTTCAGCCTTTGTCTTCCTAGACAAAGAGGCAGAATTGTTTTATTTTTTCCACTAGGGAAAGTATTCTATTATACTATTTGTAATTACCCTTCTAAGCCTTTTCTAAGTCTGTTATATCTTTCTGGAGGTACAGGTAGCCAAAACTGCCTGCAGTATTACAGATGCAAATGCTTAAAAATATTGCATAGGCAAAGACATATTCAATCATATGGCAAACATAATTACATTTAAATGCAAACAAAGGAAAACCCAACCATAGTCTAGGGCAGTGAGGTTCCAGAAGGATTATGTAAACACTGTTCATTATAAAAGGTGACACTGAATTTTCCATCTAGTAGCAATTGCCACCACAGCCTGAGTTTTCTGCTCAGAAAAGAGGTCGTCTCTGATTCACTGTGGTTCATTGTCATCTTTTTAAATACTATTTTATTTGTGTTTTTGTGAAGACTTACGCAGTAGTTTAAGTTCCCACTGAACAACTTCCACCTAATTCGAGCTTTCAGTAACACTGGCTACATTCTTCACAGTGTATGAACGTTCCATTGTTTCTGTTTGTCATCTTGTTTTACCAATCAGGTAATCAAGGCCAGGTGGGCTGCAACCTCATTGTAAGCTTCTGTTCACTCTCAAAACTTAGAATATTACTAAGTATTTACAGGTGTTTTAAGGAAAGGGCCAATAAATATTTGTTGCTGTGCTGATTCTTGAAAGGGATAATAGTTAAAAATGCTGTCGTAGAGACGGCCTAAATAGGTGTTGTGTTCCCCATATACTAGCTCACCACAAGTTACACAGCTTTTGTAAGCCTCCTGTTTCCCGTACGTAAAGTGAGGAGAGTAATAGTAAATGCGTCATAGAGTTCTTGTGAAGATTAAATGAGCTAATGCTTATGGTATTTGAAAATCAAGGGAACACCTGGATTGATTGAACCTGATTTACAGTCCTTCACAGTGATAGCCATATATCTCAAATAGAAGTTCCTAGGTGCTGTTGGGACACTTATGATTCATGGTGACCCCCCCCCCCCAATGTGGCTTAGAGCACTGTGCTCCACTGTGTTTACAAACTCTTTAGGAAGCAGACTGCCATGTCTTTCTTCTAAGGTGGATTCAAACGTCCAACCTTTTATTCAGTAGTCCAGTGTGCTACTGTTTGTGCTACCCAGGAATTCCTCAATGGAAGCTGGTATTTAGTAATTAATTAGCAAATGTATACTGAATGAAGAAATGATAAGATCAACAGTAAAATTTTGAATAGTTAAAAAATAAATGTATTCATCAATTCTCTAAATTATTTTAAAGTTAAGTGCTTTATACTGAAGAGACTAGATCATGAGAGATCCCTGTAATCATTTCTGGGAGTTGAGTTAGCTTTTTCACACTCCTGTGGGTTTATTTGAAATTTACTTTTTATTGTTGTTAAGTGCTGTCAAGTCGGTTCTGAATCATAGTGACCCTGTCTAGAGTTTCCAAGGAGTGGATGGTATGTTTGAACTGCCAACCTTGTGTTCTCAGTCCAGTGGTGAGTCTACAGAGCCACACCACCTGCTATGTTCTTAGAACAAGCCTGGGTGCTGGAGATTGCAATATAAACACTGCCCTGCCCTCTGGTTGCTCGCAGTTGAGTGAAGAGACAGCCTTGGACATGCATGGTGAAATACAGGCACTGCTGGAAACAGGGTCAGGGCTTGGAGGTGGTGCAAAGATTCTGCCACGGATGCTACTGAGGAAAGGTGGGTTTTAGGTAAGATATCCACACTGGTCATGAAGGACAGGATTTGTCTAAAAGGAGAAGGAGGGTGCGGAGGATGATGACCTGTCTGAAACCTCAGGAATGCCTGTGCTCCATGCAGTATAGGGTGGTGTACGGTAGTGTTGGGAAAGGAAAGCCAGCCTCACAGAAGCCACAGAACTTAGAGTTCATTTGCCTGCAGAGCAGATGGGACTTACTCCTCTCGGCAGAGGGAATCCATAAAATTATTTTAAACAGAAAAGTACCCTGATCTCATTCACTACCATCAAGTCCATTCCGACTCAGAGCAGCCCACAGAACAGAGTAGAACTGCTCCATCGGATACTGAGACTGTAAATCTTCCTGGGAGAAGACAGCCTCAGTTTTCTTCTAAAGAACACTTGGTAGTTTGAACCTCTGACCCTGCAGTCAGCAATCTAATGCTTAATCCACGGTACCACCAGAACTCTGTGCAACCTGATCAGGTACTTGATATAAAACGGAAGGTTAGGGGTCAGACAGGTGATCGCCGGTTAGGGTAAAAGTGGTAGAGATGAGAAAGAAGCAAAGGTCTCAGCTGTAGTGAAAGGATGAATGTGAAAGAAGTTATGGAAGGTGAATTGAAGGTGAATTCAGTTGTGTTTAGCTCCTCTTACTTGGTCTGTACGTGAATAAAAACATTTAAACTAAGCCACATACATAAAAAAAAAGTTACAACTGAAAGACTTCATTTTGGCATGTCACATGAAAAGAACATTTCTGTTTAAAAAGTGAAAAGAGAGAGAACAGATTCTGCGAGTCAACATCAACAGTAATCACCCCCTGGTGGCTTTAACACATTTGCGTCCGGCTGAACCCAAGGAATTATCTCTGTTGAGATTCCATGGGCTGGTTTCAAATTAGAGACCGAAGTTCCCTTCCGTGCAGATCAAGTCCCAGCATGATGGGTTTTATCCTCAAGAACTACAACCAGAGGAGCTGAATAAAGAGGCCCAGGGCACTCAGCTAGACTGAATCTGAATATGCTACTGACAGTCAAGTTCAAAGACATGGGAAGCCTACCAGGGAGATGCCTTCATACAAGGTTAGGGATTTGGGACCAGGAATGGAAATGAGGAGTGGTGGTGAAAACATGTTAAGGGCACATATTTTCTCTCTCTTGCTTGAGAGCATTCTTGGAAGAACTTGACTTCATGTTTTTGACCTAAAGGCACTAGGGGCTGGTCCATTAAAGAAGGTCAACTGATCAGAAAGCCAACAAATGATACAAGAATAGTCCAGGTCCACCAAATTCTGCACTGATTTCTAAGTGCTCTCAAATTAACTGAGGTGAGCTAATTCTTCACAAGAGTACCAAGTAGTGAGTTAGTACCAAAAGATTTGTAAAACATTGTATTTTCATGGTATGGTGCTGTAGGATACACATTGTAATGCTAACCTAAAGTTTGGAAGTTCAAACCCATCACCTAATCCTTGGAAACCCCATACAAGGTCATTCTACAACACTTAACATTGAAAACAATCACCAGAAGAAGTTGTGAATATGTAATTTTGGCTAATGAGAATATCCCTAAACAGTTAATGATCACTTCATGTATATGCATAGAATCACAGCCATAATCTCATACTCTTTGAAACAATTTTGTCCACATATTTTTTTACAATCTCCCGAACAAGAGTTTCCAAGGTCCATGAGCAAATTCTCCACTGTTACTATTCTGTATTTACTTTCTCCTTCACCCTCTTATTCTCCTAGGCCCCTCCCCAGACTTTTACAAAGCTTAAAATCCAAAGATAATGTTGAAACATTATGCAAATGTCCTTCAATAATACAAGTTTATTTTATAAGCTAGGCTATTGACTATGGCATACAATTCAAGACAAACAAAAACGCTCTTTGCCTATTACTATTGGGAACACAGTTGTTCCCTGGAATAAAAGAGTTAATATGTGAAGAATTCATGTCTCACCCAGTTCCACATCCTGATCGTCAGTGAGCACCAGGATAATATTGGGTCGAATGTTCTTCCGTTCCTGCTGTATTCGTCCTCGGAACCTCGGTGATCTGACAGTCAAACACAAGCTCCCTAGCAATTCTGTTCCTAGGACAGCCAAAACCAGAGCACAGCCAGAATACTTCATTGTGTTTGGTCCAGTGTCACAAAACTGACAGGAGGCCTCAGGTTCCTGGTTTCTGAAGGTCTGGTTAATCAGAGAGAAAGTGACAGGGAGAGACTCCAGTGAAATCCAAACACCAAGACACAGTTGCAGAAAAAGTGGTAGAAAAAAGTCTGAACTGGCATATAAACTGGCAAAAAACCAGACTGCACATGAGTCAGAAATAGCAAACCCTCCCAAATCTTGGGGAGTTTTTTGTTTTGTTTTGTTTTATGCATTTGATTATTTTGCAAATTCATTTTGTCCTTTTTCTCATCCCAACTTTTCTGATTTCAATTCATTCCCAAAATATCATTTCCAATGCAGAATTCACATGTAAGAGCTTTCTGATGAAAGCTAATACCTTGAATTGGGTATCCTGGTTGAATACTCAGTTTCTATTCTCAGTGGTGTTCAGGACTCTGCCGTTGGGGTCCTGGAAGGGGGGAAAAATACAAAGGAAACATCAGTCAAGGATTTTGAAACACATTTTTTTTTGAAACACATTTTTGATCTGAAGTAATCTTTTGAATCTTTTTCTTTTTGAATCTTCTTCCTTCACTCTAAGGAAGACACAACATTTAGGACCGCTACCAAAAAGTGAAATAATATTTGATTATTTCATAATCAATTCCATAGCTGCATGATTAGGGTACCATCAGGACTCATACTGAAAATAGTGCTTCAAACATCCCAGTGATGGGTGCCATGAAACCCGAGTGCATTTCATCTGGGGAGCAGTGCAAGTCACGGGGTGTGTTGAGGGAGCATAAACTCACCTGCACTCAAAATTGAGTATTCATCAAGCTGAATGAAACCAAAGCTGTCATTTGTCATCTGCATTATGCCACTCACTACCCAGGAGAGTCCTTTTTGCTGACAAAGACTTCACAGTAAGTGACTCGGAGGGAGGACCACTTTTCCCAGTCTCAGAAAACCTCCTAACCGCCCCCCTATCAATCACCAAGGGAAGGGGCGACTCCTCGGGTCAAGGCCTGTCCCTTGGTCCAGCCCGCGCATTCTGCGCTCCCAGTCATCCTGGCTTGCACCGGCGCCCCAGCGGACAGAGTGCTCTCAGCTGTCAGTCACCAGCCTCACTATTGTCAAGCTGTGGGTGAGCCGAGCCGGGAGCTGCCAGCAGCACACACAGAGGCTTTGCCGCAGTGGATCTAAACCTGCAAAGCAGTGATTGATCAGTTCTCAGGCTGAAGGTGAGCGGCAACACTTCCACATTCAAAAAATAAATAAAATCCGCAGGGAACTGCTGCAAAAATCTTTGCAAAGCTTCACAGAGGGAGACTTTTGAAAGGGTTGGAAAAATGCCTCTTTTACTTGAGAACACGAACCAGCGAAAGGCATTTCTCCTAGACTTTTGAAAGATAGTAAAGGGCTAGTTTTTTTGGTTTTTAAAAAATCTTTCTTTTGGGTGCAGGAGATAACATCTATATGGGAATTGAAGCAGTCCTAAAACTAATTACATAGGAGCCTGTGTCATCAGGATCTAACCCCATACACCTGAGGATCTATATTTTGGGGTGCAACAATAAACAGCATCAGATAAGTAAGTGTAACTAATTAAGTGTAAACATTGCACAGCTGGAGGAAAGGGCCCTTCCCCCCACCCACCCAGTTCATCTACAAGACATCAAATCTGGAAGGGGGGACACATAGGGCCATGAAAGAAAAAGAAAGAAGGAAGATTGCATTGTGTTTTTCCCTGCCATACACACATTATTTTCTCTCTCTCTCTCTCTCTCTCTGACACACACCAGATTACTTTAAATTTTATGAGCATTGTAATAAACAGTTCAAATGCTTTTTACTCTGCAGCCTGTAATTATTCTGTGTGTTAAAAAAAAAAACAAAAACAAGAGAGAAGAAGAAACTCACAATAAATAGGTTTTAAACAAGCAGCAAGGCAGTCCTGATTACACTGTCTCCCAATCAACAAGCAAGACAGGTCTGAATGACCCCTCGGCTCTTGGGAAATCAGTACGTAAGACTCAGTGTGGATTTTAATAACTCCGGGTTGTTCAGTGATGGCTGGGCATGCTGAACACTGAAAGCCTGCAATTATTCTGCACTGACTGTTTGGTTTCTGTGCATTTGTTTTAAATTGTGAGAAACCTAATACAAGCACGAAAGGACAGGAACACTAAAGAAATAAGATGCCCTATAGAGCTCTGGTAGCGTAGTGGTTACGAATCGGGCTGCGAACCTTAAGGTCAGCGGTTCGAAACTACCAGCCGCTCCACGGGAGAAAGATGAGGCTTTCTACTCCTGTAAAGATTTACACCCTCGGAAACCCTGTACAGGGTCGCTATGGGTCGGACCCGACTCGATGGCACTTAACAACAACAACAATCAGTGAGTGGCTCTCTTCCACAAAGAGTAGAGCCAACTAGATAGAGAAATGCAGAAATATTTTAGAGGACTGTCCCTTTAAATAGCAAAACTTTGCTCACCTCTCAAAGCCTGCAAGGGTGTCTGGAAAAACATAGCAAGGAATTCTTGCAATCCGATATACTCTAAGCCACCTCTGCATACACAGGCGACCACATTAGCGCAATCTGCCTCACTGCATAGAACAAACAGTGGTACTTGGAGTTCAAGTAAGCAGCCACCCACGAAAATGAAAAGTCCTGAAAATTAAAATGTAGAGAACACTGCTAGTTATTTTCTTTCTTATTTACTTTACTTTTTCCTTTAGGAAAAAGAAAATGAGCTTTACTGCTACCTTGTGTAAACTACATTGAAAATCATTTCCTTAGGAGTCTTGGAAGTGCAGTGGTTAAGTATTGGGCTGCTAACCTAAAAGTTGGCTGTTTGAACGCAGCGGTGGCAAACTCCACAGGAGAAAGATGAAGCAGTCTGCTTCCATAAAGATTTACAGCCTCAGAAACCCTTTCGAGCAGTTCTCCTGTGTCTTAGAGGTTCACTATGAGACGGCATTGACTTGAAGGCAGTGAGTAACAAAGAAAAGAGAGATAGTAGTGGATGTGGTTTTTATTGACTTAGGGAACTTTCCTTCTGCTGAGTTCAAGGTGCAGAAGAGCTAGACATTACTTTTCTGTTGTAGTTTGCTATTTATTCAAGGAATTCATATACGCCAGCATAAAAATCAAGTGGTAAAGATCACTGAAATTTCAGACAGGTCTGGCTAGCAGGTGGTTGTTAAGTGCCCTCGTGTCAGTTCGGATTCAGTCAGCCCTGTATAGAGTTTCTGAGGAGCAGCTGGTGGGTTTGAACTGCCGACCTTGCAGTTCACAGTATAGTGCTGATCATACAGTGCCATACCAGGAGTCCTGGCTAGCAGGAAAGCATCTTTCGTCCCACCTTCCTTCACGAAAACACACACTAAAAAAATCCACATAGGCAGATTCTTTATTCAAATATGACCCTTTAGAACCTGACATCCTCTCACTGCCTGGTTTTCTGCTCCATAAGAAAACTAAAAGGGACTTTGGCTGGTGTGGGGCACCATTCCTGACTGACAAAATGCAGAGACAACCAGCACAAGATGTAAATTGGAAACTCTGTGGTGGGCGACAAGTGTCCTTAAAGACAAACAATTTGTCTTGAGAAACAGTAGAAAATGGCAGAAATGTAAAAAGGCTTTTCTCACACATGGAGAGTGAGCTTGAAGAATGGTGTTGTATTAAAGAATATAAGTAGTTTTTTTTTCCCCTCCAAGCTATATAATGGAAGCACTAGTTGTATTTATGGTCAGCTGGTGTCAAAGTTTATAGGCTTTTGTGTAAGGCAGTCAAGTCAAAAAACAAATGTGGCACTGAAAGTTTCAAGTGACTTATAAAAGACAAAATGACTTGGATGTCTTAATGTCAACTAGACAGAAATTTCATTCACATAAACTCGTCTAGCAACAACTGAAACGAAACCAAAGACTACACGCCTCCAAATGTCTGAGGATGATCTGTCTTGAATGACCTTCCTCAGCTGAGCAGGTAAAGGGGAGGGTGAGGATATGTCAAAAGTGTCCTGACTCTGACAATAGCAGCAATTCTCAAAGTGTTATCTGGGACTTTCAGGGATTCTGAAATCCTCTTAGGGAATCCATAATATCAAAACTATTTTAATAAGAATCTTAACGACATTACTTGCTATTTTCACTTTAACAGTGTGTTGATGGTACAACTGCGTTTCTCAATACAAATGAACCATATGCAGATTTTTAAAGCCAATTTCATAAATGTATAAAATTCTAACTTTCTCAATGAGCCCAACAGACTAATGGACTATGAGAAAGAACATCAATCTCCACTACCCTGGAACCACAAGAACTAGATGGTATCTGGCTACCACGACCAACTGCTCTGAAAGGGATTAGAAGGGCCTGGAGAAAGTGGGAGAACTAAACTCAAAATCATTTAAAACAACAACAACAACACACACCAGGCTTACTGGTCAGAAAGAGACTGGAGGAACACAAGACTATGGCCCTCGGCGACCATCTTCAGCTTTGGAACTGAACTCACCCCCATGATTCAATTTCAACCAAGCAATAGATAGGTATGGGGGGACAACAGCAACACCTGTGAGGTACACACAATCATTTGAGATCAAAAGGGCATTTACCCAAGGAAATATTGAGAAGGGTTGGGCAAGGATGAGGAATGGAAGAACGGAAATCTGGGGAGGGAGTGAGAACACCGGTGTTACATTGAAGGCATGACAATCAGTGAGAAGAAATCAAGTGTGTACGATCTGTTGACCATCAAGCTGGTGCTCTGCATTGTAAACTTCACTCAATTCACAATCAACAATTTTTCAAATTCTAGCTTTTATATAGAATCAACATTTTAGAAAAATTATATTGGTATTATATGCTTGGCACCTTCCCATTGCACAAAATCTTCTCTGAGGAATTTTCGATTAACAAATATCTTTTTGATATTATGCTAACATTTGGAATATCTGCAAAATTTAGTGAGTTACCTTTTCTCAAATGACCATATAAGATGTTA